CACATATTTTATCTGGTTTTCTAAGTGGTTACAGTGAGAGGTTAATTCCCATAGAATATGTAGACATAGCAGTCTGTATGTTATTTCTTACTGATCTGTAAAATTTACATTGCTTATATTGAGTTAGAGTGCTTGGTTACATAATTGAATATTCATTTGTTTGTTTGTTTACTACCTAAAATGAAATATACTCTCAAAAGCCTCATATGATTTTGTAATTGTACCTCTCTTTACCACTTCTCTATTCATTAAAACTAATCATAAACCTAGAAGCATAAGTAGAACGTCCCCTGGGATTGATAGTTTACGGTGTGGAGTAACTTTGCAATCCACTCACACTGCTGCCTGATTGCCATGCAACTCTGGTTGGACATACAAGTAGAGCAGATTTGAAATAAGGGCTGGAAGTGAAATTGCATCTTGTGAAGGAGGTGTAGCAAGAAAATTTCGCTATGTCAGGCGAGGTTATCCTTCAAATCAGAATGGAGGGAGAGGAGGAGGAAGAGAGAGAATGTTTTGAATCTGTGTTACACCTATGTAGGTTGCTTCATATCTCTCAGATGTGGCTTTCTACCATAGAATTAGGATGATTTAACCTTGTGGAACTATTATGAAAATTAACTAAAATTATACAGATTAATAAATGTAAAATTCGTGAATAAAATACGGAGACTGGCACATAAGAAGTATTCAAAATGTTTCATAGAAGGCTTTTTCTAGGGTAAGAGCCCTCAGGTCTTTCTCCTTTTTGCAACTATTTTTGGTCTTTCCCTCTGTATCAAAATCAACAAGTCTTTTGCAAAGTTGTATATTTTTTCCCCTATGATTTTTACCTTCTCACTCTGTCCCTAATCATTATTTCAACTGTGTGATATGGAGATTCTATCTGTATTTCCTTTGTTACCGTTTTTTTGTTATTTTTGTTTTCTCTGGATTTTCATTAGCACATAAAGAAATTCTTAAAAAATTATTTTGGAAATCAAAGTTATTTTCTGCCTTGTAATATTTATTCCTTGGCTACTTGGTTTGAGAAGATGAGATAAAAAATCTTAAGAGATGAAACATTGTCTTGGATAACTTGACTAGGAGTTATTTATAACAACCTCGGTGATTGTTAAGCACTGGTTTTTGTTCTTATAATCAGTCTATGAGTTTTCATTTTATTTTTAATTTTTTTCTTCCATTTTTTTTGCCTACATTAAAAAAGAAGAAAGATCTCAAATAAACAACCTTAAACTACACCTCAAAGAACTAGGAAAAGAAGAACAAACCAAGCCCAAAGTTAGCAGAAGGAAGGAAATCATAAAGATTAGAGCAGAAAGAAATGAAATAGAGAATTAAAAAAATATAAAAAAATCAGTGAAACTAAGAGTTGGTTCTTTGAAAAGATAAACAAAATTGACAAATCCTTCCTTAGACTAACTAAGTAAAAAAAGACTGAAATAAATAAAATCAGAAATGGAAGAGGAGACTTTACAACTGATGTCACAGAAATAAAAAATGTCGTAAGGGACTATAATGAACAATTATGTGCCAACAAACTGGATAACCTAGAAAAAATGGATAAATTCCTAGAAACATACAGCCTATACCAAGACTGAATCAAGAAGAAATAGAAAGCCTGAACACACCAATAACAAATAAGGAGATTGAATCAGTAATCAAAAACCTTCCAACTAGCAAAGCCCAGACCAGATGGTATCACAGGTAAATTCTACCAAATTTTTAAAGAATTAATACCAGTCCTTCTTAAAGTCTTCTAGAAAGTAGAAGAAGAGAGAACACTACCATTTTTTTTTTAGTGAAGCCAGCATCACTCTGATGCCAAAGCCAGAGACACCAAAAGAAAACTACAGAACAATATCCCTGATGAAAATGGATGCAAAAATCCTTAACAAAATATTAGCAAACCAAGTTCAAGAGCACATTAAAAGGATCACATACCATGACCAGGTGGGATTTATCTCTGGTATATAGGATGGTTCAACATATGCAAATCAGTGTGATACACCACGTTAACAGAATGAAGGATAAAAATCACATTATCATCTCAATAGATGCAGTAAAAGAGTTTGGCAAAATTCAACACTCTTGTGATAAAAACTTGCAACTTACCTCAACACAGTAAAGGCCGTATATGAAGAGCCTACAACTAACATCATACTCAATGGTGAAAAACTGAAAGCTTTTCCTCTAAGATCTGGAAAAAGGCAAGGGTTCTTACTCGCACCACTTCTATTCAAAATAGCACTAGAAGTCCTAGCCAGGGCAATTATGCAAGAATAAGAAATAAAAGGCATCCAAATTGGAAAGGGAAGAAGTAAAATTATATCTGTTCACAGATGGCATGAACTTATATCTAGAAAACCCTAAAGACTATTAGTTAGAATTAATAAATGAATTAAGCAAAGTTACAACAAAATAACATACAAAAATCAGCTGCATTTTTATAGACTAACAATGAATTATTTTAAAAGGAGACTAAGAAAATCTCATTTACAATAACGTCAAAAATAATAAAATACCGAAGAGGTCAAAGACTGGTATGCTGAAAACTATAAAACACTGATGAAAAATTAAAGAAGACAAAAGTAAATGGGAAGACATCCTATGTTCATAGTTTGGAAGAATTAATGTTGTTAAAATGTTCATACTATCCAAAGTGATCTATAGAGTCAATGCAAATCTTATCAAGATCCCAATGGCATTTTTCACAGAAATAGAAAAAAAAATCCTGAAATTTATATGGAACTGCAAATGACTGCAAATAGCCAAAGCAATTTTGAGCAAGAATAATAAGGCTGGAGCCATCACATTTCCTGATTTCTAAATATATTACAAAGCTACAGTAACTGAAACAGTATGGTATTGGCATAAGAACAGACATATTCACCAATGGAACAGAATAGAGAGCCCAGAAATAAGCAGACACACATACGGTCAACTGAGCTTTGATAAGGGTGCCAAGAAAACACAATGCATAAAGGATAGTCTCTTCAATAAACAGCACTGGGTATGCTGGACAGCCACATGCAAAAAAATGAAATTGGACCCTTATCTCACACTGTACATGAAAATCAACCCAAAGTGGATTTAAGGCCTAAATGGAATACCTGCAACCATGCAACTCCTAGAAGAAAACATAGGGGAAAACCTTCTGGACATTGGCATTGGTGGTGATTTGTTGGATTCGATGCCAAAACTACGGGCAACAAAAGCAAAATTAGACGACTGGGATTATATCAAACTAAAAAGCTACTGCACAGCAAAGGAAACAGTCAACAAAATGAGAAAACGTGTTTGCATACCCTATATCTGATAAAGGGTTAATAACCAAAATGTATAAGGAAATTCTCCAACTCAATAGCAAAAAAACAAATAGCCTGATTAAAAAAAAAAACGGGCTAAGGAACCGAATAGACATTTGTCCAAAGAAGATGCACAAATGGCCAACAGATATATGAAAAGATGCTCAACGTTACTAATCATCAGGGAAATGCAAATCAAATGAAATATCGCCTCATACCTGTTAGGATGGCTGTTATCAAAACAACAACCAGGAGATATTGGTGAGGATGTGGAGAAATTGGAACCCTTTGTACACTGTTGACAAGAATTCAAAACGTTGCAAGTGCTGTGGAAAACAGTATGGAGGTTCCTCAGAAAACTGAAAATAGAACTACTATATGGTCCAGCAATCCTCCTTCTGGGTAAATATCCAAAGGAATTCAAATCAGGATCTCAAAGAGATTATCTGCACTCCCATGTTCATTGCATCATTATTCACAATAGCCAAGGCATGGAAGCCGCATAAATGTCTGTGGATGGATGAATGTACAATGAAAATGTGGTATATACATACACTGGAATATTATTCAGCCTTAAAAAAAAGGAAATCTTGCCATTTGTGATAACGTGGATGAGCCTGGAGGACATTAGGCTAAGTGAAATAAGCCAAATACAGAAAGAGAAATACTACGCGATACCACTTTTATGATGAATCGAAAGTAGTCAAACTCAGAGAAGTAGAGAGTGGAATGGTGGTTGCCAGGGCCTGAGGGAAGGGGGAAAGGGGGTGTTATTAGTCAAAGGGTACAAAGTTTCAGTTACACAAGATAAGTCTTAGAGATCTACTCTACAGCATAGTGCCTGTAGTTAACAATGTTATATTGTATACTTAAGTTTTTAAGTATACAATATAAGAGGTTAGATATTATGTTGTGTTCTTATCAAAAAATAATAATAATAAATAAGAGACCAGGAGGAAACTTTTGGAGGTGATGGATATGTTTATGACATAGATTGTGGTGATAGTTTCATAGGTGTATACTTATCTCTCAACTCCTCAAGTTGTATATATCTGTTATATGCTGCTTGTTGTATGTAGAAAACTTTTTTTAAAACTACAGTCAAGATAAGAGTATATACATTTTTCTTTAGCTTGCTTTTTCTACTTAACATGTGGTGGACATTTCCTCTAGGACAGACATCAGCTCCTCTTAAAGCTGCCTAATTTCCCTATTAGGGTACATTGTATTTTGTTCAACCTTCCTGTATTATTGAACATTCAGTTTTTTTCCTTGTTATTATTGTACACATATCCTGTGTACTGTTTTTTGTAGGATAGATTCCCAAAGTGGAACTGCTGGTTTATAGGCTGTATTCCCTTCACCATCCCACTAGTCTATGAGTGTACCCATTTTATTCAGCCTGTGCTCTTCTTAATTTTTGACAATTTCTTTTGTAAAAGACAGTATCCTACTATTGCTTTAACATTTATTTCCTTGATAATTAATTAGCAATACAGTCACACTGTATTGAAACCAAGAGATTTGAAACCATAAGATATGACATCCCGTTTGCTCTAAAAAAAGGCTCTGTTCTATTTTTTTTTCCTTTTGAGTACATTAGTTCTCTCTGGGGTCCTTATAATCATAGTTTTAAAGATTGACAAGTAAGTAGTCTTAATTAGTTGACTTACTTGGAACTTTTTCTTTCAGCTTTTTGCCTGAATTCATCAGTGGTGACTTTGATTCCATTAGGCCTGACGTTAGAGAATACTACGCCATTAAGGTAAACTATAAACACTTTTATTTTTAAGATCTTTCTCATATGTTTGCTTTTCCTGTGTTCTTTCTGATTTCCTTGGTGTATATGTAGTGATTGAGAAACTCATTGTTTGGTTACTTAAAAAAAATTTTATAGCAATTGTAATACACATTCAAATGGAAATTTAAAAAATGACAAGTAGAAACTCAATCTTAGAAATTCTGTCGCCATCAAAGCAGCATCAGTGCTTAGTCCTTTAAGCATATATATTTTAAAAGAGTTTGTAATTTATATAAGCTCATTTAATAATGTAGTATTGCTGCCTACATCCTCATTATATATTTTTCACAAATCATTTTTAATTTCATTTAATGAATGTGTTGTATTTTACTTAACCAATTCCTAATTGATTTACATTTGTGTCCATTTGTTTGCATTGTAAAGTACTAAAAACATCTTTGTAAATGATTTTTGTAAAAATGCATAATTGTGTGTTCCTCGAATGTAGAACCAGTTTTTTTCTTTAATATTTAGTTTCTTTGAAACTATTACTCTGTTCTGAATAAAACTATTTATTACAATTTGAAATTAATAATAACATACAGCTTATTAAAGTGTTCATTTTGTTACTACTGGTGCAAATCTTCCAGAGATTCTTATCACTTAAGAATAATATATAAATGGTCCAATTGAGAATGATAGAAGACATGTAGGAGTGTATTGTGGTAATTAATAATTCAGGCTTTCACTGGCTTTAGAGGACAATGCAGAGTTTTTAAAAGGAAATTATAGCCTCCGCAATTCTTCTAGCCACGACACCATCATCTGTGTTATTCTGACCTGGCATTAGCAAATTACACGTATTTTTTTTTTATTATTATTTTTTTATTTTT